AAACTACCAGGTGTTCCGCGGAATAAAGATGAGGCTTTCTGCTTCCGTAAAGATTTACAGCCTCGGAAAACCTGTACAGGGTCGCTATGAGTCGGAACCAACTCCACGGCACACAACAACAACAACATCCATGAGTATAGGTCAGGTTCATCAAATTGTAGCAATTTACCTTTGTTTCCCATATATATATATGTAATCTTCCTGTAGTCGAGTTCTGATTATCAAGCCATGGTGACTAAGTCAAATGGGTACTGGGTACTGTCTGCTCGTTTGGGTGTTCTTGTGCATCTCCCCTCACTTCATATCACCTGGATGCTTCACTCTCAGCTCTAGCCCTCTGTGGCTATGTCCTTGTCTACACACTCAGGTGTCCTCAGGTCTCACCACACTTAGGACCAACCAGTCCTTCCTCTTCTCTCTCTCATCTCCAGGTCAACGGGAGTCAATGGACAGTGGGTGAACTCAGCCCATTTCTTCATTGCTGGTGTTTCCCTTCTTCCACTCACCAGTAGACCAATGTGGTCGCCAGCAAGTTTACATGCCTGTTTGTGTATTCCTTTTGCATTTCAGTCTTAGAGGGGAGTTTGTCTTGAAGGAACTTGATTGCTTGCCTTGATGGATTCCCTGTGGACAGCTTGCTTATTCTTGTAGTAGCCAGTCATGCTGACATTTTTGTTTTGTTTTTTTTCCTGATGATCTCTCTTTGAATATGTATCTTCTGTTGCTCTAGCTGCTCCAGGCTGGTCTGCTTGTCCTTGCTAGTGGAAATTTCCCACCTTATAAGATTCTGGATGGGACTCAGGATTCCACCTAAGGTCCTATACTCTGCAAAGGCTTTACAAGAAGCCTATTTCACTGGGCAAATTCTAGGACCCCTTTTAGGTATTCTAATCAATTATAGGTTGAAGACAGGCTTACAAGTTTTCTGTAATCATGTTTCTCAACATTTCTTTCTATCTCACTCAAGTGTCTATTTTACAACAGTAGGCAAGGGAAACCAATATTCATAAGATAGTCAAGCATTTTAGTATTATATCCCCTCTTCAAACTATGCCTAAGTCCCTGTTGTTCCACGGTTGAGTATGCATCCATCACAATTTACCTCTGTCCCATTTAGGCCTTGCAAACCTGTCTCAGTGTTCCCTTTATTTTGTTCTTCCACCTCCTCCCCCTTCTTGTATTGCCCTCCCAAATACCCAAACTAAACCTCCTACCCCAACCCCACTGTTGTGATTTCCTTGTTGTTGTTGTCAGGTGACATCGAGTTTGAACTGACTCATAGCGACCCCATGCACAGCAGAACGAAACAATGTCCGATCCTGGGCCAACCCCACCACCGCTGCCCCACTTGATGCCATCAATGATGCCACCTGGCTGATCCATCTCGTTGGGGGTCTTCCTCTTTTTCTCTGACCCTCCA